GGGGGGCAAAACAAAGTATTTCTAACAGTTCACTGGCTGGAACACTTTTGTTTCAACCAATCACAGGTAGGAGTTCACTTGTGAAGCAAACACCTGAAATGTGAAATGGAGGTCTGTGGGGTTAAACTGTCAGTTGGACTCAGCAGTTTTCTGGTTGCATTTGAACCCTCATCATGGGTTGAATAAATGCTTGTGTCACTCACCTGTATCTCTTTGGGTCACTGGGTGATTTGACGATCTCTGGGTCTCCCTGGTCGTCTACAGTGGCTCCTTCCTCCCCGTCTCCAGCAGCCACCTGAGCCCTGGCGCCCTCTGGGGGCGGAGGCTCACCTTGGTCTGGCGCAGATGCTGGACTGGCAGCACCAGCACCACTCGACTTGCTGGTCTGAGGCATTTTGGAGAGTCCTCTACAGTGAGACACACACATTAACAAGTTATCAATGACTAATTCACTGGAAATAAATGTATCAGCGCTGACTGTGATAATCGGCATAAACTGGTCACTTTTCTTTAGGACAGCGTGGGAGAAACATGAATCCAGACTGTGCAGATTTTATTTAATCATGGATGTTATTGGAATCACTTCATACATAAAACTAAACTCCTAATTTACAGAAAGAATCAGCATCAAGTAGCCAATAATAAAATACTATATATAGATTAAATGAATGCCGAATTGAAGAACAACGCCTCCTGCTTTGAAAAGTACCTCGGGTTTTATTTCAGCAAGTAAGGGTTTTCGGTAAAAGGAAAATATCAGATTTTATGAGGGAATTTTGGTGACTCGGCATCGTCTCTCGCGAGAACAACGTTGAACGTTAACAAGGATTTAAATTGAGCGGAAGCTCATGTGAAATCCAGTTTATTTAACTGCTAGCTTCCCCGTTATGAAACTAACGGAGGCACTAACGGGTTGACCGAGGCAGCAAACTCCATATAACCGCCGACGGCGTCTCCGCAAACACACCGAGCTCCGTGAGCTTCAGGTGGAGGCTCTGCCGGCTCGTTTCACAGCTAATAAATTCAATATACTTTAATCCTAGCGGTTAGCGGACTGCTAGCTACTCCAGATACTCGGAAGTAGCGTCAGCCAGCCGCCCGGGCTGGGTAGGTGGAGGCTGTGTGTCCGTCAGCTGGGAGCACCTTCACTTGGACTCCAACATACGGACGATAGGAGCCGTTTTTACCTGCCAGGAGGAATAAAACACTCACCTTCGTCTTTGAAGCCGCCGAAGTTTAAGAGAAGTAGCCCGGTACTACCCAGCTGGTCAAAACAAGGCCTCTGATTGGCTGAGGTCACGTTAATCACAGAAGACTGGCCGTCTGATTGGTTGCCACTAATCGAGCTGTAAAGCTTGTGCGAGAAACATGCTGGGGAAGGGGGTACCGGTAGTAATATAATAATTAATAAATTATAGATGCCTCCTGTTTGTCACAGTCTCGGTTATTGTTGTCATTAAAATAAAGAAACGTTTGTTTTCTTAAGTAAAAAGTTGCATCGTTTGGGCTGACTGTATTTTGATTTGATTTGATTTTTTTAACCCTGCGAAAATCCACAGTTAAGCTGTTACAGCAGCCAAAACAATAATGCAGATAATAACTACCACGTGTGGTGGTTATTACTGCTGCTTCACAGCAAGAAGGTCGTGGGTTCAAATCCATGATGTTTCTGAGATTGTTCTGTGTGGAGGTTACATGTCAGTCCGGGTACTCTAGCTTTGTCCCCATAGTATGAAGTTGATGATTAATAATTAGACTTGAATGGTTTTCTGTCTCTCTGTTAGACCTGCCACAGGCTGGTGAGCTGTCCAGCGTATACCCTGCCTCTCGCCCTATGTCAGCTTGAATATGCTGCTTCTCCAGCAGAACTCATTGACTGATAGAACATGTCCATCATTTTGCTACACACAGTGAGGGATCTTGGCTTCCCTAGGAAACAGAGCCTGCTTCTCTCCTTCTTATGTCATCCCTCCAGTTCAGCCTGTTGTTGATGTGAACACTCAGATACTTCTCCAACACACACTCACACCCATCCCAATCTTCGTTCTGAAGCTGACCACCATCTCTCTGCTTTTATTCACATTCTTTACAGTCCTCCTGGACATCACTGATATCCAACCTCTGCAGAGTTCTTCTGTAGGTGTTGTGACCCATGAGAGGATTATGAAGTGAACAGGAGTGGTACAGCAGACCCCTGTGGAGCAAACTGCACAGAGGTTCGACACAACTTTCAGAACTGTTTGCAGATTTATGTAATTTTTAAAAGATTTTCTGGTGACGACTGCGTACGTATGTATTCTACCAAAGAAAAGCGACACGCATTCTGATTAAAGATTGTGATTTTTATTATACTAAATCTGATCTATAATATACAAACATTCACAATATTTTGTACAATCACTTTGTGCTTCTCCCCGAACAGGAGCAAACCGTAAGACAACAAGTTTACAGGAACTCTCTAAGAATTAGTCCATGGTTACACTGCAGAAAAATAAACTCAACACCAGGATCAGATCTACCTCTATCATTTACAAAGTCACTTAGAAAATAATCATATGAAGACGATGTCCATGTTATTGTAAGTTCTTATCCATATGAAGACACACGGCAGGGAGTTACACACCAACGTGCGCTGTGGTTGCTATACAACAGTTTGGCAGGATATAAGTTTATCAGAATATTTAAGAACAAATGTTTCTTCAAGTCTTCCATGAACAAACGCACTGGATCTCAAAATATCACAAGAACCCGTACAACTGAACACGCGATAAATATCATGATACTCAACACGAACACACACGCACACACACACTCATGTAGGAAACACTGCAAACACGGCGGCTGTGCGACTACACCTGCTAAAGGGGGCGAGAGACGTGCTCTCCTCACTCATCAGTTCCACTCACGTGTGTGCGTGACTAAAAATCAGTCTCCGTGTGGCCTTGGCGGCACGGTCGCCGGTGCAAAAGCTGATTGCCACCATGAAGCAGGGCTGCAGCGCTCAGTGTGGCCCGGGCCAGGGTCTCTGATCCTGATCTCCTTTCCTGTCTTTGTTCTTCTGTGATTTTGGAAAAAAGCAGACATGGAAGTCAAACCAAAACTACAGCGAGCACGCACTCCAGCACTGGCCAGAGGCAAGACCCTGGATGCTTTTTACTCTTCTATGACTCGTGAATTCTGACTCAGCTTCTAGCAAAGTGCAATTCAAACAGGTTCACTTCACACCTGAAGGTTGATTATTAGTGTGAATGCAAACACGACTCTTTCCACTCTCATTTTCCATCTCAGATTGTTTCATAATAACACCAAAAGAGCTCCGAGCATGTCTCCATTTGTCTGGAACAGAATTTGTATGTGAACTAAGCCCTTATGAGCACGCTCACACCACCAAAGGGAGTGGATGATCATTCAGCTATGACGGTCAGATAGTCGTCAGTTAACCTCAGAAACAAACCTCCTGCATGTCGGTTACTTTGGAGTTCCTGTTGCTGTTTGCAGCTTCCATTAATGTGAGTCCGCTGGCTTGATCCTGAACCAGAAAAGCTGTGTGTTGGTGCTGAAAGGTTTGACTGCTGCAGCTCTGGGTTGTGTCGTCAGGTCTCAGTGGCTTTAAATAACTCCAGTCTTCTTAACTCGTGCTCTGTTTCTCTGTAATTAAAGCTCAGAGGTCAGAGAGGTGAATCCAGAGCTTCGGTCCCACAGGAAGGACAGCGTTTCAATTTAAAGCATATCTCATTCGGGGTCATCACTGATTCTCTGCCGTGTATTTAAAGAATCTCACGGCTCTGTGAAGGCAGGAACTCTGCATCTCACTTCTGAGCGCAGCCTTACATTACAGCAAAATGCACCTGAACTCAGGCTTCAGCAGCCACACCCACACCGGGCTTTAGAAATAAAAATGGCTCTGAGGCCTCTGATTCCTTGGAAGTCTTGGACCCCATTGGTCCATTCAGAAATCCTTCCACACCTTCACAACACAATGGAAACAGCTGGTACAGGGGCAGACGTTTTGGGGCTTCCTGTCAATGAGAAGAAACACTGACTGAAGGCTGGAACAGTGAAGATCTGAAGGACTGCTTCATCAGACAGAAACAGGAAGGTTGTATAAGCTATGAAGGACATGCAAAGAGAGCTGAAAGTCAAGCAGCATCACGTTAAGTCCTGCAGAACATCAAACTGAGGGCAGCTGTTGGAGGCTGCAGATTAGAGGACAGAGATAACAAACAGGGATTGTTTGTGCTCCTGCACACGCTCACATCAGACTTATATTTGTTCTGTTTGTTGTTAATAATCTTCCCGATGCAGACAATTTGAGTCAGAGTTCAGAGTTTTTTTTTAGTGGATTGTTTGCACATGCTCAAAGAGCATCTGTGTATCTCAGTTTGGTTTTCACAGAGTGAGCAGAGAAAATATCTTCACCTCTGGGATTTAGCATCACTGAAACCAAGACTGAAATCATCATACAAACATCCATAAAATCACAATGCAGTTTCAGCTTCATTTCACACCTGGTTACAGGTGTCATCAATACTCACAGCTGTTCATCCGATATGACTCTTGAAAGTAATGATTTAATCTGAGGTTTTACAGATCAGAACTCCCAATGGAGGTTTTTTCTTGGATGTAAACTTATGTGTTGTCTCAGTAATACTTTGTTTTAACACCATTTCAAGTGTTTTCCTTCTCATTGAAGTTTCTGTAGTTATCTTAAGACCCTGTTCAACCACCAGGGGGTGCTGTCTCTTCACCTCTGACCCGGCTCCTCTGACCCGAGCGACTGGACTGCAGCCCTGTCAGAGTTGTGCGTTGGTGGTGCAGCCTTAAAGCGTCTGTCTGAGTAAGGCCAGTAAGAGTTTGTGGGCTATAGGCATGTTATATCAGAGGAACTAACGCTAGCTGTAGAGAAGCAGCATGAGTGATGACTCAGAGGAGGACTGTAAACACATGAGCAGCTGTGGCGTTGTGCTACACTTTGAGAGGAAAGGCAGTGCTGTGCTGACCTGTGACCCTGCTGACATCACACTCCAACTAAATGGGCATTTGGCGTGTTTGAGACACTAAACTTGACCCGCAGTGTTACTCAGTTAGAGGCCTGCTGCCTCACTGCACGTGTCATTACAGCACAGAGCAAGCAGGTGTCAATCATCGCGTCTAATCTCAGGCAGAGTAAGAAGATTCACCCTCGGTGTCCCGGTCAACATCACAGTGCTGCAATCAAAGAGAGCATCTTCAGGGTAACAAAGAGAAGCCGGACGGCATCTTTGTGATGCATGCGAATGAAGCACACTTCTTAAGGGGTGTCCACACAGGAAGTGATTCACTCATCTTGCATCATTTTAATGGCAGCTGGATTATGGCTGTTCCTGGCTGTGGTTGCTTAGGTAGCCCTCTGATGTATTTACCACCCCCTGATATGTCAGTCAGAGGTGTCCTTCACTCCACTGGTAGTTGCTTTAACCGCTCATCTTTAAGTTAAGGAAAGTTTAACTCAAGAGCCACCGACTTTGTAGTGGTTATTTCTCTGCACTACAGAGTGGCACGCAACGGCTTGCAGAAAAAAGCCTTTTACTAGTGTTAACAATCATCTGCAGTTTGGTCTCTGCAGCAGCTGGACTGGATGGATCCTATTGTCACTCTGACCTGCAGTGGTTTCCTGCTGGATGTTTCACATCTGTGCAGCATTCTGGATCAGCTTCTGTTGGATTCGACTTTCATGCTTGCAAGAAGTTGAGTCTGTGGTTACCAGCTGTGCAGCTTTTTAGACATTAATTGTTTCCACCTTGAAGTCACACCAGCACAGAAAATGCGCAGATCTAATCATCCTGTTGGAAACTCCTTCAGTGCATTTGTTTCTTGGCGGAAACAGTCCACTCTCCACCCCTGACTCACAAATTCCCCCCACTTACCAAAAGTCTTCCTCACAGTCCTGACCTCTGACTCCTCACTCCACAGTAAAAGGCCTCTACTTCACACACATGAATGTCAGCATTTCAACTAACACAACTATGAAATAAACCGTGCACGCTCATCATCAGATGCTAATTATCCGTGCGACAGCTAAGAGAACGAACCGGAAGTACCTGATGTCACTTTTTCAGCCTGTCTGTAACTGTGTCACTCTCTAGTATAATCAAGCCTTTGTTCTTTTTTTTTTGTTTCTGCATAAGAGAAAAATCTTTGAAAACAGTCACTGGTCACAGTGATATCACCACCAGCAGCACAATAACCTTTTCAAGCACGCCAAATCCACATTAGCATGGAGTACGCTGACAGCTAAAGGGCCTCCCACGGACACTTGGGATGGTAAAAGTGGTTATATAGATGTTAGTTAGCAGGGCCTGGAGAAGGAGTAGTAATGGATGGCCGCTCACAAACATGAAGCAGAGCGAGTGTGCAGAGG